GTTTTGCAGCCTTGCCTTGAGTTTCTCCACCCGGGTGCGGAGTCTGGCTACTTCGGTGTCCGCCTCTTTGAAGGGCTCGAGCTTAGCCTTGAGGTCCTTAACCTCTTTCTCTAGCTCGGAGATTCGCCTCTTCTCTGCGTCCAGATTGGCCTTGACCTGCATATTGGCGGCCGCTTGAGAATATAGGATGTGGTCAATAATTCATTTTGAGCAATCTGAAACATGGTCGTGTCTAGAGAAGAGGCGGAGCAAGCATTCGCAACTTTACCTCTTTGGTCTTCTCACTGAGCGGTTTTCTAAGACCATGCACTCGCAGCATAGACTGCTTCCGGCAAAGAAAGGAAAACATCAGTACCAAGCAGCTTAAAGAGTTGCGCAAAAAATTAAAAATAACAAATTAAAGTACCTTAGCGAGGAGAGTAAGAATGGCATCAAGATTGAGGGTTCCGACTCCTCTAACAGACTTCCTGTCCTCAAGGGAGATGACCCTCAGCATGGTCTTTGCCAGATGTTGAAGATCCGGCCTTTAAGGGACATCTGCACATTCAACACTTTGTAAATAGTTGGTGTAAATTTGGCCTATAGACCGGCTGCTTTCAGAAGTACAGGTCGACTATTGATTGAACTTGACCTTACAAGGGTATGGCAAGGGATTAAGGGTTATAATACCTTCGGCCGCCTCCTTCTCCCTTGGGGGCCGGCTACTCTCAAGGCCGGCTGGGGACTTTCCCCCAATTGGAGGATGCGTCCTTCCTGGCCTATTGGCCACATGTTTCCTGGACCTGCCAGGAGTTGCCACATCACCGGTCATCCGCTTCTGAAGCTTCGGGTCCAGCTGTGAAGAAAAAGAAGGTTTAGAGGAACCACCCTGCACATAAACCAAAATGAGTAAGAAGCAGGCGAGAAAAATAAATTAAACTTAGCTAAATTAAAGAGTATGGCTCACCTTGGACGCCTTCGCGGCATCCAGCTCCTCGCCTTTCCGCTTGCCCAAAAGCGAGCGGTAGTAGGCAGCAGGCTTCTTTGTGGACGAGAGCTTTTCCATTGCTTTGTCTACATAAGAAGATTTAAATGGTTAAGTTAGCTGATTAAAACAATCAAGTCTTACTAAAAATCTACACATTCAATCGTCTACCTCTCGAACTCTCTACACTCAGACCGCAGGCGGCCAGATAATCCCCATCAAATAGCCAATCATATAGAGGAATATAACTTTGGGGAATGACCTCTTTCACCCCAGTCTCCTCATTTGACCAAATGGTCACTTTGAAAAGGCCCTTGTCCATGATCTGCTCTTTGGCTTTTTTGGGAACAGGCGGCAATTCAGTTCTGCCTGAGAGTAGAGGGGGGTTCTGGTTCCACCGATTGTATTTTTAGTTCTTTATCTTGTCATGGGAAGAAACAATGTAGAACTTGCTTCTCCAGTCCTTCCATTTGTTTTCCTTCCCAATTGTCATCATGTAGCCTTTATGGCTAGATAAAGTGTACCATTCGGACCCACTCGCTTTTAGGGTTTGGCTGAGATAGTGCATATGGGCGAACACCTCAAAGCTTGGCTCCACCTCTAACATTTCGCAGGCGGTAACAAAGCCCAGAATATTTACCCAAGAGTTTGGGGCAAGTTGCTAGATACCCGGCTGGTATCCATCAAGAATTCTCTCCACGACCGGATGGAAGGGGAATTTTAGACCAGCCTGAATGGTCGCCTCATAGAAGCTAAAGCATTCGTCCACGTAGCTTGACCCTTCTGGCCAGACTACGGTGTCTTCAGCATCCGGAACGCACAAAATGAAGCCATGTCCCATGACATGGCCAGCTTTGAAACTCCCCACCTTGTCAGCCATTGTTTTTCGCCTGCCCGCGTGAACGTGATGATAATAAGCAGCAAACTTCTCTCGGCAGGAAGCAGACGGCTAAGCCCAGCTCTCGCCCTTTTTTTACAAAAAGGGACTCTCTCGCTGTCTCCAGCCGAGAGCGCTTTTCGTTAGAGTCATCAGAGACTCTACTAAAAGTACTTGGCTCGGACTCGCTATCTGAGCCGTCGGACCTGGTGTCCGCCTCGGGGGGGCCTGTTGAATAGAGTCAGAGGCATCACTCTCAAACTCCTCCCCTAATTCTTGCAAAATAGAATCATTGGGGGTACTTGGGGTGCTAGGCGGCAGATCAGAGAGATCACTAACAGGCGCCCTAAAGGAGCCGTCCGGGTTCTGCTGCCTGGATGTTTGTTTAATTCTGGCCATGGTGTCCTGCACAGACACAGAGACAGTCAGACTCGGGGATGTTCGCAAATGATGGTCCAACAAGGGGCATTCGGCACTCCTAGTTCAAGATTTAGCCGTCCTCGGTGAAAGGCTGATCACTAACCTAGACCATGACGTGTGCTTTTGGGAAACAATTTTCAAAAAGAAAAGAAACAAAGTTAAAGTACGAGAGAAAAGCAGGCGATCACCTTTGGTTTGAAGGTACTGTTAGCGCTTGGAAAAAGTATTAGACGGCTGTAGAAACAGGCGGTCAGGTGCAGGCGGCACTTGCTTTTCTCAGAAAAAAGACAAGTTCTATCCTAAAGTTAAAAAGTCCTTTGTCCGAAAATTCTTGAGAATGTGCGAGAATGGTGGAGGGTGGGACCCTTATATAGTTGGGTAAGAATTTCAGGGGGCACCCCTGAAAGATGTTCCAGAAGGTAAAACGGTAAAAAACCGTTCACCTATCCGCATGTGACACATGTCACAGGCGCCACGTGGCAAGCCACGTCACCCCTGTGAGGGGCAAATGATTAGGGTATTTTTTACCCCGCCGCGTGGACCAATCAGAATCCGCCACGTGTCACCCTAAGAAAATCCCAAAGTGGACCTACCGGGGCTCGACACGTGGCAGAAAGATATTCAGTGAGGGCTTGGTGGCCTTCAAGGCCCAAATCCCTAGGCAGCCCGTCAGTCCTAGGTTTTTTGTAAAAGGGAGATGTTTCCACTTAGGAAACACACACATTAATTATTCAACAAGAGAAATTAGATTAATTAATTAGATAAAGCATTAATTGCAGAATTAATTACACACGAGAATGAAACACTTAGATACTGAGGCTGTTTGTGATAGCCGGATGATCATTTCTCTCCGTAGAGAAACCTGATCACACTTTACATTCTGCGTCTTTTATCTTCCGGACACGTTCTAACTTGATCGTCGAAGGCGGAACTCCACCCAACAGGAGTCTCCGTTGTTTTGCAGGTACAGGCGCCCAGAATCTAGTCTTGGAATTGTAACTCTCTCAAGGGACACAGAAAACCCCGAAACAATTTCCATCATATTTTTCGTTTTAAAAATTTCTTTAAAATTAGATCCATTTATAATATATTTAATTTATTTAAAAAAAATAGGAAATCAGTAAAAATAAGATTTAATCAAAATATTTAATTTTAGTTTGTTAAAAATATCTCCAATTCAGTATAAATAATTTAAGTTCAATAAAAATAAATTCAATTTAATATTAACCTAGATTTCTATTTACAAACAAAACTACAACATTACACTATTATGTAAATAAGTAATGTGATATCGTATGTCTAAATATTCTACATTATCAAAAGAGATAATATGACCTTATTTAACATTCAACCCAAAAAGTTTATCAACAATCCGTGCATCGCCCGAACACAAAACTAGTAACTAATATATAAAGCTAAACTTTTAGCCAGGTCACGGGACAACGACGCTTGGCGCTCCAATTTTTCGCCAAGTGTTGCGCCACATTGGCAACAATTAAATTTTAATATGATTATATGACACGTAGGATTTATTTGGATATATTTTTTGTAGAAAAAAAAATTTAGATGTCATATTAGGATAAATTTTTTTGGATAGATTTGGTAGGATAAAAAAGTTAGTCTAGAGTTTTATTTTCAATACATTTGGATAATTTTTAAGGATAAATTGTTGGTTTAGTGTTTTATTTTCAATTAAATACCAATATTTCATATGTACTAATTAAATTATAACTCTATTTCAAAAAATATTAAATTATAACTTTCAATAATTATCTAATTAATTATATTATTTTTATATCATAATATTTGTGTTAAATAGTACTCAAAAATAAATACATTTATGATATATTATAATAAGCGACTTAAATATATTTTAGTCATTATTAAATATATAAAGTTGTACGATTAATCAAGTCACGATACAACAAAACTTAAGCCATGCGATTAGCCAGGATACGACACATTAATACATGGCATTCTAACATTTCGTCAAGTGTCATGCCACGTAGGTGGAAACTAATCAAAATATTCTAAATCAAAAAGAAATTCACCTCTTATATAACACTATTTGTATCAATAACATATTTTATAATTTGGCATATATATAGAAAGTTTATCTTGAACTTCAATGGCACAAACCTTGTATAATATATCATAGGAGAAGAGTTGTACGAGGACTTTTCATGTTGTCAGTTAAGTGATTATTATTATCATCTTTATTCCAATGTAATTGACTCTATCAAATTTGAAATACTTGTCAATGCACTAATTATTTGATCATTTCCATGTATACTTAAAAAATCAGTGAAGATCAAATTTGTCACACTTGCAAACATACTATTTTTTTCATTTTCTTTTAATTGGTCAATCAAATTCAATAATAAATACTCATATATATATATATATATAAACGACATTTGAAAAGAAATATGAATTTCACGAACACTACATAATAGTGTAATCATCAAATAATGACATCCCTCATCAAAATTACAATTGCTGAATAGATCTTGCACATTAATAAGACATCTTACACACATATCGCTAAAATTTAAAGTCTTTTCAGAGAGACGCTTTAACGACTTTTTGTAGTTGCGAGGATAATTTCCCACCAATTCATTAGCTTGTGTATTCGAAAAACTAAAAACTCTTACAATAATTACCAATTTACAGTACTACATAATAAATAATGTAAAAATTAAATTGTATCAATTACTTTATTTGTAAAATAGAGGGAATATCAAAACATCACTTATCCAGTTATCAAGTACTTCGTAAATTTTTAGTTGTATCATTTTTTTAAATTGAAAGTATTAAATTAGTTGTGCTCCATATCACTTTTTTTTTTAGTTAATAAACTCTCTCTTATCATATGGGTCCACTTTATATTCTCTCAATTTCTTTCATCTCCAAAAATTACCTAAGTCCACAATTTATAAAGTAATGTAATTGAAAAAACAAAATAAGTATTTACCAAGTTGATCAATTGGGCTAGCTAACTCTTAGGATTCCTTGGTTATATTTTCATTTAACTTTTTGGGAAGCCTTAAATTGTAGGGCTATCATCTTTCCCCGTCTTCGTCAGCATTCAGCAACAATCCACTGTTCCTCTTTCTCAAATAATCTTCCAATTTCACCTGAGTTCAATACAACTAGAGAAGACAAGTTTCCTTACATTTTTTTTTTTTTTTATTTATTATTGTTTCCTTTTCCCAAACAGAGCTCGATAACGACACCGTTCTGTCCCATGTGCCTTCCTTCCACAATCTTTAGCTCTTTCTTCTCTCCCTGCTTCAACTATTACAGTTAAAACCCGCTTCCAAACCACACCGACCCTAACCCAACTCGTCCAATAACCAAGTCTAATATGGTTTAACCGATAAAAGGCCGAAAATCGGCATCTATTTCATCAAAAGCTGCCACCTTCATTAGTTCATTCATTCAGCTACAAAAAATTATGAGTAACCATGCATGCAGAACTCATAAGTGCAGTTACTAATCTATTATGCACGGGATCAAACTCGGGAGTCTAGACTGGATGAGAGAGAAAATAGACAATAAAAAAAAGAAAGTGTGTGTAAATGTGTAATTGTATACTGTATGTACGAGTATTCTCTATTGTTGTTGCAGAAACAAAAGTCACGGGTTTGTCTTGAAAGTCCCTTTATTTTTGCACAGTCCCAGACGACAGACATACTACCAGACACTTATTCTCTCTCTCTTCTAACACCTCATTTACCTAAATTTTGCTCATTTCAAAAATTAAAAACCAAAAAAAAAAAAAAAAAATACAAAAAGGCCTTAATATAATAGGGTATCTCCTTTTTCTAGTCACAAAGTCTTGAACCTCCTTTTTTTTCATTCTTTTACCTTGTCTATCAAGCTAAAGGTTTCATTTTCTCTCTCCCTAAAACAAAAAAAAAAAATGGCAGTTATGGTGGACAATTGTGAAGCATTAATGTTGTCATTAGACAGCAGTAAATCAGTTCCAGCACCGTTCCTTACTAAAACATATCATTTGGTTGATGATCCTTCTACTAATCACATCGTTTCTTGGGGCGAAGACGACACCACCTTCGTCGTCTGGCGTCCTCCGGAGTTCGCCCGCGACCTCCTCCCTAACTACTTCAAGCACAACAACTTTTCCAGCTTCGTCCGCCAACTCAACACCTATGTAAGTCATCTTTTTATAAAAGGACAATGATGTAGACGAGATTTAATTTCATTCATATATATAGTGTTTTTATGTACTAATAATACTGTAAATTCATTTTATTGTTATGAAGGGTTTTAGGAAGATAGTACCGGACAGATGGGAGTTCGCGAACGAGTTCTTCAAGCGAGGCGAGAAGCATTTACTCTGCGAAATCCACCGGAGAAAAACAGGACAACCACACCAACCGACTCATTTGAATTTCGGTCATCCATCAGCCGCCTCGTACTTAGGCGGCTGTTTCCCATCCGTAAGCCTATCACCACCAAACTCGACCGATGATGACCACCGTGACTTCGACTCATCTTCCGGCTCTCCGCCTTCATCTTCACCTTCAGCCGCCTCCAAATCCTACACCGACGCCCTCACTTCCCTCTCCGAAGACAACGACCGTCTTCGGAGGTCCAACACTATGCTCATGTCCGAGCTCGCTCATATGAGGAAACTCTACAATGACGTCATATACTTTGTTCAAAATCATGTTAAACCTGCTGCTGATCCTGTCACTGCTAACTCTTGTTACCCGTCGGCCTCATCGTTGCTGCTGTCATCTTCTGCTGCTAATATCAGTAATACTACTACCACTACGACTACCAACAATTTCGTGGCGCATCAAAACTACCCGTCCAATAACAGCTTTAATCAGTTTATCAAGAAGGGTAATTGTAGCAGTAATTACAACAACAATGTGGGTGATTTTGGTCGATTTTCTTCATCTTCGACGGCTACAAAGAGGAGTAATTTGAGGGTATTGGAAGATAATGAGAGTAGTAGCACTAACTGTAAGACCAAGTTATTTGGTGTTCCGATTCAATCAAAAAAGCGATTACATCCAGATCAGATGATTGAGAACAATTACAAGGCTCGTTTGGTGTTAGATAAGCATGATCTCGGGTTAAATCTCATGCTTCCATCTCCTTCTTCTTAGTTTATTAAAATTAGTTAGTTTTATTATTATTAATCACTTTTTTAGAATATATTGTTAAGAAGAAAATGGAAGATTTTGTGAAAAGTACGTGCTACTATGTAATTTCATGTACATAAATTAGCTAGACCCCGACCTAATTAAGTAGCATTAATCGAACTTGTTTCGTAAATTCTTGTATTAGACGGTTTAAGGAGTTCAAGTATGTACCTCAGAATCCTATTTTCCCACCTCAGAATATTCATTGAAGCAAGTGGGTAAGTTTTGGTTTAAAAATTAATTACGGATAGTTCAATTAATTAAAGTTCCATTTATTATTATTATTACTGTATTATAATAATACTGTATATGTACTAGTTACTGTATAAAATTTCATAGCTTGTCTTTTCGTCTAATTCCTTATGAAATCTGAAATTTATGTCTGAAATGTTTTTCAGTTTCATAAATGCAGAGATGAAAATGACAAGAAATGTTTGTTTTGTTGTGTCTGAAAATTTCCATGTTATGCGTATAAAAAAGCAGAGAAATTAAAGGACTGCTGCTACATTGGCGTTTCCCTCTTTTGCTCTATTTTTCTTCATGGTTGAACACATTAATGGGCGATATTGACAGTAATGTTAGGTTGGACTATTAGGTAACTTGTCTCAAATTCTTTCAATCTTTACCAATGACCACTGTTTAATTGTGCATGTACCAGAGAAGCACTATCAGGATAACTTCATCTATTTTTTTTTCCTTAATTTTTTTTTTTTTTTTGGACAAGAGGATAGCTTCATTAATTAGCCATCTGAAATTAATATTTTGTTTTATAAAGTCATATTTGTATTTTATGAATAATTGTTGATAGAATATGTCTTAAATCAGTTAGCCTATGCTTCAAACCTTACAGCAATTGTTATGTAGGCAACGATTTTCTGTTTTTGAGCCTATTTTCATTTTATGTTTTAAGAGCTAGTACAATATAAACTCTGTTAGGATTAAACTTAGCGATTTACCCTAGGCAGCATTATGTAATCTGTACTATCATCAAAATCAATAAAACTCTCGATCTCGCCTACCCGTGAACATAGTCTAATCTGATCTGATTTGATCAAACTTTGACCTTAAGTGTACGATAATCTATAAGGAAAAAAATATATGAAGTGAGATCTTGTTAGATTCGTAATAATGTGTATTTTATTAATATGTAATTTTCATAATTTTTTTCATTACGAAATTAAAGATATTTAGCGATAAAAAATTGCACATAAAATGATGATCAGATTTGAACTTAATTTTTCTGATCTGAACTTATTTTTTCTGATCTGATCTGATTAGAAATTATTTTTTCTTATATAAGTAAAAATAAGTTGAACTAAATAAGGCCTTAGTATTCTTATTTGTTGATTTCTTTAATCTTTCTTACATCGGTTATAACAATTCTTTTTCGAAAAATATTACTCCATAATCAATATGTAGGTGATAATTATGGAGTACTTGAAAGAAATCACTTATTAAGGATGAACAATCATAAAATATTTGTAATCTGTATGTTAACCCTTGAAATGAAAAATGAGAACTTTTAACTAATATTCATACATCACATTATTGTTTAAGGTTTAAGATAAAAGATGATAATAAATATTAAAAATATATAGTTTTAAAATATTTAGGAAAAATTGTTGGGAATAATCCCACCTTTTGAGCGTCCGCGATAGATGATCCCACCTTTGGGATTCTTTTTAATAATCTCACCTTTACCACCAGATCTTTTTTAACGGTCCCTACAGGTTACCTCACTTGTTGTAGCCGGTTTTAGTCCTAAGTGGCTTCCAGCGGTTATATTCCTTTTAATTTAATTTTTTTTTTGTTTAAAATGCCACGTCCCTTAAATGTTGGGTCTTCTTCTTCTTTCTCTGTTTCCAAAAGAAATTGAACTCCATTGTTGCTCTCAATTTCCACTTTCAAATTCCTCTATTCTCTCTGGAATTAGGGTGCAATGGCTAGTAGGAGGCAAATTGGTTCAAGTGGTTCAACTTCGTCAAGGTCATTTGGTTGGGGTTCCCCAAAATTGAAGTGCACATGCAGGGTGGAAGCTATAATTCGAATGGTGAAGAATGGTGATAACGCAGGTATGAAGTTCTATGGATGCCCAGAATGGCCTATAAGTATCATGGATAGTGTCAATTTTTTGTTTATACTTAAGAATTGGTTGTAAGAAAATTTACTTGGGAAAATCAAATTAGGGTTTTCAAATTCAATTGATTTAGGGGTATTTTCTTTTGTTTACAATAGGGTGATTGTGGATTCTTTCAGTGGGTTAATGCTAACCCTAAGGACGTAGAAGATCTACAATTCCAGGTTTTTGAAAGAGATACTCAAGTCGTTGCTGAAAAAGAGATTGAAATTGATTTCATGAAGGAGCAGTTGAAGAAAGTGGAGAAGAATTTGGGAATTAAGGAGGATGAGTTGAATGATACAAAAATGGAGCTTTGCCACACTAGAATTGAATTGATGAAGGCTTCAAGGAATGAAAAAAATTTCTCTATTGCTCTGTTTGTGTCATGGATTTTCTTTGCTTTTCTTTTAGTGTATTTGAAGGCATGATAGTGATGTTGTGCAGATGATAGTTGGTTAGAGTGAATAAGTTAGTTTAGGTTGGGAAATGATTGTATTTTGGGAATTTGTGACACGTATGGTCAAAAAACCTGGTGGTTATGCAAGATATGTATGCTGCAATGATTTGATGAATAAAAGGAAGTTATTTTGACAAATATTTGCTTAAAACTTCAATTATCATATAGAAATGAACCCATTAAAGGAAGTTGTTATATTGAACATAATAAGTTGACAATGTTTAGTCCAAAAGACACAAAATGAACCCTGCCATGGTTCATGCCATTACATTGTAATATGCAAATTGACTTTTATAAGCCAACATGCCTAAAAGGTTGTTCCCAAAAGCTTACATAAACAAAGTTTTGTCTAAACACTAAAGTAATTAGTTACACCAAAAGTGAGGCACAATTCATGGCACTACTTAGTTGAATATTGAGTTGGTTAATGTCAGGTGGAGCTTTGACTATCTTGACTGCACTGGAAGCAATCCATTGCTGATCTTGCTCTTCTTTGGTTGCCTTGGTTCTGCACAAAAAAAAAACCAGAGATTAACATGTATGACATTGGTTGCAAGCAAATTAACACAGTAACAGTGACAACATAAAGCCACTTACTCTAGTCAATGCAGATCCATCTGGTGCAATGAACACACCTACACGTTCTGGAACCTGAGCAGTTGTAACACATCACCAAATAAGCAATAAAATAAAAGGGATCAACATTAAACTAAGATGTGTTCATGTAGAAAAATATACCTGGTGCCTTCCTTTGCCCCTGCCCCTGGTCCTACCCCTTCCCCTTCCTACAGCATCTGAACCCCTTCCCCTTCCTGCAACATCTGAACCCTTTCCCCTTCCCGCAGAAGCATCTAAACCCCTTCCCCTTCCTGCAGCAACCTCTATCCCTCTTCCTCTCCCAACATTGGCAGCAGCAGGTCCAGTACCCCTTCCACCCCTTGATCCCCTCCCTATTAATATTGTTCTTCCTCCTCTACCAAGTATGGTAGGTTGTGTAGTTAGGGAGTGCTGTGATGTAGCTTGAGTAGCTTGGTCTGATGCTGCTGTAGGTTGAGCTGCAAATGCAGTTGCAGTTTGAGATGATACAGTATGTTCAACATCCTTCCTTGGCCTCCCTCTAGACCTTTTTGCAGCTGGTTCAGATGCTTGTACATTGTCTTTGTTAGGGCACTTCCTTTTATTATGCCCCTTGGTATGGCAGAGGGAACATGTCATTTTGAATCCCTATTCTTGTCAAGGAACTAGATTTTTTGGGGTTCTCAAATGGGTCTTTGATTTGATTCTTCCTTGGCCTCCCTGGACCAATTTAAGGTGGAGGATCAATAGGCATAGACACATCTGGCCAGTGTCTTTCACCTTGAATTGGTGGAATGGATGCCACTGCATGGTAGTATGGGATGCCAAGCATGCCCATTTCCTACAAGTACATGTTCTACTTTCCAAATTCACCACCACCTGATCTAAGTGGTAATAAACATTGAAAAGGGTTTCAATTGAAGGGGATACTTCACATTCTGCAGCCTTTGCCTTCTCAGCCTCCAATTTGGCTTGGATTCTTGGACAAAGCATTGAGGTGCCTTTCATCATAGCTTGCCTTTTAACCACCAATCTCTGCATCAATGTTGTTCTTATGTCTTCTAGCATGTACAACAAGTGTTTGGTCCTTACTTGAATGATATACCCATTGAATGTTTCTGCTATGTTTGAAGTAATTGCATCAATCTTCACTCCAGGACTCAAATAGGCTCTGTAAAATAATTTAGGCTTTTGCAATTTGAAATCACTTGCAGTATCCACATTCAACTCTAAAAGCTACTTAATTCCTTTAATCAGCCGTATTGTTTGACTTAGCAATCCTCCAAAACAATAACTTCATCTCATCCCCCCTGTACTTCTTGTGCCGGTAAGCAAATATGTGTCTAGCACAGTGTCTGTGCTCTGCCTTAAGCAGAACAGTTGAGACCACTATGCACTATACTTTATCAAATTACAAATGAAGCAACAACCAATTGAGCATAAAACACTATTACAAATAGCTGAAGTAAAAGCATTAAGCCAGGACTCATATTTGATGCTCATCAGAAATGATTGTGATCCCTTCTCTTTCTTCCAAATTTAGACAAGCAGCAAGATTACTGTCCCTGCCAACAACAACCAACAGTTGACCCCCCCAAAAAGGTCTTTAGAAAACATGCATCCACTGCCAAGACCTTCCTACAACCTTGCATCCACCCAGTTTTCAAACCTTCAAAACATATGAACAGTCTCTGGAAAATTGGTGGGAAAGCTTGCTTTTCAGTGTCAGTTACAAGCTATAATTCTGTTCCAAGACTGCATTCCTCTATTGCCTTCAAATACCCTCCCAGCTTGTTGCAGTGGTCATGCATTGACCCATGTAACAGTCTATGGGCATTGTATTTAACTTTGTAAGCAAAGTCTCTGGTGACAAGCATCCTGTATGCCTTCCTTACACACTCAATAATCTCTTTGGTTGGCCAATGTGGCCTTGTCTTAAACACATCAAGAAATTGGTTTGAAACCCAAGTTGACTTGAGCTGCCTGTTCCTCTTCATATTTCTCTGACAAGTGTGAGCACCTTTCACTGTCTTCACAACTATTGTAGCTCTCCTAGTGTCCCATGAAGCATACACATAGAATGGACAGCTTTCTATGCATTTGAAACCCAACCTTTTGTGATCTCTGTTTATTACTCACAACAATACTCACATCTCTCTCC